TAATAGTGTTTTAACTATCTTTCTTTTGTATCTTCGACATGTTTTCCTCTTTTTTTTATTTTTATTTAGTATACATTGTCTTGTTTTTGATTCTATCATAATTCTTGATAATACATGTACGGTGTCGCCTTTCAACAATCCCAAGCGATCCCGAGGTTTGAGCGACCGACGTAGTTCGATGGTACAAATTTAAAAAATTTGTATTTTTATAAGTTTTCTTTTTGTTGTGTAGAAGTTTTCTTTTTCTTGGGCAAAAGAGTAGATCTTTTTTATTTCGTGATACGCTTTTGTAAGATTTTATTTTTAATCAAGACTTCGATATAAAAACACATGTGATAGATCAATGAATGGCTGAAAACTGAAAACTCGAGTGTAGTGTGTGGAATTCCGCGATGTTTTGCTGTAGGCTTTCCAGAGACCCTCCAGAGACCAGCTCAAAAACCTTTAAATGACTTGCATCAGATTCGTCATCGTTTTTACGGTATACACCATGATTTTGACGCGATTTGAACGGAAATTCAAGGTTTTAGGAAAAAATCACTTAGCCGACTTTGGGCAAAACGCGCCGTTTTTCAATGCTTATTTTTTTTCCTGAAGAACAAATTCAAAAATGTACATATATAACTTTATTCTAAATTTCATGGCGAATCTTATGGCGAAAGAATCAGGTCGCTAGCTTACAACCCTAAGGACTTGATGTTTTTGCGAGATCGATAGGTCGAACTTCGAGTTCTGCCGGTTGAACCTCTCAATATGCTTTTTAGTTTCTGCTGAAAAATTTTAAAATACAGTTGTCTAGATTCACTTTTCGATGTAGAATCTGAAAATATCAGTTAAAAAAAGTTAAAATGCAAGCTGAAATGGCGACAGCACATTTTCTGAAACGATGCGTTTTTTCGTGTTGTCGACCCGAGCTCAGTATTTCGGGTCTTTCTCCCTGAAGATGACATTTTTTTAAACTCGGACGGCGACATTCGTGATCAGCACACTTTGCTCTATCAGAATATAGCTATTTGAATTAAAAATAAAAATGAGTGGTAACTTTGAATTACGCGCGCCTTAGATTGTTTAAGTCTGGAGTTGTCTCTTGTCTCACGTTCTTCTAACCACATTTTCTTCCTTTGTCAAATGATTATTGTCTTCGGTTAAAATTATAATTGCGATTTGTTTTCTCTACAATATCCAACAGTTCATTACTAGTTTCGGAGTTATTTTCTATTGGCATTGGTGCTGTAGAGCTCTGTTTTATCGTTGTGGCCCCTCTTGTTCTCGTTGTTACATTCTCCTTGATCGTGGTTGCACGCGTTGTCAGAGCTAAAAGATCACGTGCCAAATTAATACCCATACAGATCATCCGACTCTAGTTTCCTTACCAATGTAAGAGTTTTCTTGCCGCCAATGGAATTGAAGTGAATCAATGAGATCACCTGATCGTCCACTAATATATTTTAATACGTGACCTTCAAATTTCTCAGTAGATGTAGTACCAGTAATGTTCTTTCCACACATCTGTTGACTCATCCGTCCACTGTTCGTAATAAACTGAATACCAAGAATAAGTTTCATACCATAATATGTACCAGTTTTTACTTGAACAACAGAAATCTCTTCGGCTTTGTTCAGTGTGAAAGTGTCCGTGTCACACATTGAAATGAATGTACCACGATGTGTTAATGTCAAAGTTAGCGGATCCGAGTAGTATACCTGAATCGATCGTAACAAACCTTCCTGGCATTGTACGTTAATTTTGTATAATCGATGGTTGTTAAGTAAAGCCATAGCTTCGGTGACTGTATTAAATTGCACACCTCCGAGTGGATTTCCAAACACTGTCCCGTGTCGAATATCACTTCTAACTACAAAAACAAAATTTTTCTTTAACTATACAGATCGGACTACAAGAACATACAGTCTGTCTCAGGCTTTTTTCCATAAAGAGCTTGTATCGATTGTTGATCAACGGATGTTAGTACGTCAGATCGTTGCATAAGCTGATAAGTCGGGTACATAATCGACTGTTTATCTCTTACATGTTCAAGACCTAACGCGTGACCGATTTCATGCATAGTGACAAGAAACAGATTGAACACAGTTTTGGAGGTCGAATTGTACCTTAACAGAAGCGAAGAAATAAGAAATATAATGATCATATAACATGTTAACTCTACATACAAGTCTGTCCATGTGTCTTGGTAATCGAAGTGGATTCTACCATCACTTGGCGGAAACGCGTGCGCTAAAATTTTATCGTCGAATGGAGCATCATCGCCATGGTCACCTTCCACAAATTGCAGTACAATGTCTGATGAACACTTGCTACAGACCATTTCAAATGTTAACGGCGTGTGTGATCTGATTCACATCACTTATTTGCTGGAAACTGGCCTGCGATTCAAGACGATAAGTTAGAGAGAGGCGAGACCATTTTTGACTGCTTAATCTCTGCCATATTTTTTCATTTGGCTGATCCACCACTGAACATCGCGGCAGATTCATGATGGCCTGTGTTTCTTTATCAACAACACCGGTTATATTCAGCCCGAAATAACGTTGAAAGTCGATGAGCATCGCAACAAAGTTTTCACTACACCGAACAGGCAATGAAGCATTACACGAACTGTAACCGAATCGTTTCAGATAATCGAACGCATCATCGTCATTATCCACTGGATTGTTCGCAGAGGAAAAGATAAGACCTATGAATATTGGTATGATTAAGCTAATTTTTGTGATCATCGTGTGCTAGAATAACAAAAATATAAGCGATGTTCTCCTACGCGAAAGAATTTATTATCGCGCATTAGTGGAAACGATATACGTGAGAATACAAACGAAAGCCTAGGAAAATTTAAAATTTTTCTAGATTTTAGTTTGTACTCCCACATATACATTATCTGCTCTGTTGCTAAATCATCTACTGCACATGTGACTACCTGAACTATATCCATCTTCTGAACAACCTCTGGATGGTCGATACCAAAAAAGAACATTTATTTATAGTATTAATAAGACTAGATTTCTTTGAAATTGTGTTAGCCGTGTCCCTTTTTTATCAAAGTAATGAGATTATACTATGCTCACCTTTAGTTTTCATACAAGATAAATAACGAGTGAACATACTGTGAGAAAAATCATCGACATTTATGATATATATACATAATGTTGTTCTTCGCAACTGAGATGGAAATAACAGAGATAGATCGTTTTATGGGCTTTTTCCATCATTTCTAAAATACGACAAAATATCCCATAATTCTTCGACATTCTATATAGAAAAAACAAATCTAGAGAAGGCACAGTGTCATCACCACAACAAAAATATAGGATATTTCTGTTATTGCGTATTATAACTGCACAACAACGATTTCTCTACTAATTTGCTTCCGTTCTGCATCTCGCATTATGAGCACTAACTACAATGTAGAACTCGACAGAAGCAACGTATTGTGTAGTCAAACGAAAAAACGGAGGGTAACAAGCAATAGTTTCCACTTAAAATCAGTTTTTGTTTGTTTCTGCAAAAGTAGACTTTGTATCCAAAACGTGTATCAAATTCGAACTCTACACAAAAAGGCAAATAAGAGCATCTTTACTCTTTACTAAATGAATTTCTACAGTAGATATGACAGACTGTCAACGATTTGTCACAAATATTCTATTTGTTGTTGTGATGATGACACTGCGTCTTCTCTATAGAATGACAAAGAATTATAGCATATTTTGACGTATTATAGGAATGATGGAAAAAACCTACATAATAAAACAGTTTAATTATGCATGATTATTGTTACGATCTAGATTGCATTATACATAGGATGGGTAGTATTTTGGTAATGGAGAGTCACGGACTATGCATACGATGATTTCCCTATAGATAAAAAAAGTCCCATGCATACCCCACAGTGAGCATTTTTCTATAGAGCAGGCAGACATATGCTGTAGAACTGGTATGAAAGCCTATAAACATGTTTTTCTATTGGTTTTCGAATATGCTCTTTCTAATGATGAGATTTTCAGAACTCAGAAGTAATTCCTTGTGGATTTTCTAGAGACCGGATCTCTGGAAAACTCATTAAAAATATTTTTACATTTCGAAAACCTCACTATTGGAGAGATCATATTCGAAAACCTATAAAAAACGTGTTTATATACTTGCGTGCTATTGCTAAAATAAATATCCAACTTCCTAAGCATAATTTGTTGCGGACAGGCTTTCAACTGTATAATTCAGTTTGACCGAAAATATTTCTGCAGAAAAATTAAAAAGCTATATATCATTCGACGTAGTTTTTCACGATGATT